GTCAGCGCCCTTGGCAGCAGCGCAGCATCAAGCGAGAGCGCAGCAGCACTTCCGCATTGCCAGCGCTGGCCAGAATGCCTGGCCTGGGCTGCTTCCTCCCTTTTGTGGAAGTGGCAGCCTCCTGGATGCTTCGTGTGGCCTGGCTGGAAGCTTCCAGTAGCTTCCGGTTGGGTCCCAGACCCTGCGCCCAGGCCCGAGACTACAGTTGAGGGCCTGGGCCCTTTTGCAGTTAGGCACGGCCTGAGTCTCCGGACTTGGGCTGTTTGCTGCATCTGTGCAGGGCTCCCAGGCAGGTGTGTTGGCACTACTGCTTTTGCAAAGGCCGAAGGCCTGCTTCCCAATGTATCGGCCCTGCTTTGTGTATGTGTGCCCAGGCGCAACTGTCAAGGCCTGGGCCAACTGTATGACGTTGCAATGTGAGGCTCACGCGTCTTCCCAACCAACTGGCGTGCTGCAAGAGCCTGAATACCCACATATGGAAATGTCGAATTTTGCCTTTGACGAATATTCAGGCCCGCCTTCACTTAGGGCGGGCACTTGGCTTGCTGGGGGCATTAGCCCAGAACAATGTGATATCTGATAGGGCCACTTGAGGGCTTGTTCCTCACAGATAGTTGTCTGATAATGTTCCTAGATGCTGTCCGATACTGGTCCCAGTTACATGGGTAGCTAGTGTGAGGATAAATTGAGAGAAGAAAACACCAGGCGCGAAGCGAACATAACTCTCTTTTTGACAAACAAAGCCTATTAAAGCTGAAGCCAGATCAAATTTCAATCGATTTTTTGCATAGAAAAAATATTGCATAACAAAATAATCTATTGCGTGCTTTATCAACTTGCTCGATTGATCAAAACTTCTGTTTTTTGGGTTGGTTTTGGATTTTTGTAAAGTTCTACACGCAGACATCCCTGCTTGGGATGATGATATAGTCTGAACTTCATGGCGACACGAAGGAGGAAGGCCTCGGTTGAAATGATGTTCGAAGTTTATTTCAATTGACATTTTTGTTTTTGAGTAAGTTTTTTTGTTTGCCAAACAAAGGTGCTCCTAAAATCATTCCAATGGCTGCTAATGTTGCCACGTTGGGCGCAGCTTGAAAAGCGCCTACTAAAATCAAAAACTCACCAATAAAGCTACTAGTGCCTGGCAGACTAATATTGGCTAAAGTAAAAAACAGGAAAATAGTAGAGAAGATAGGCATTGTACTGACTAAAGTTTCTTAAAGCTTATATATACTATACGATACGCTTGAATTCTCCAATTATTGAATTGAATTGAATTGAATTGAATTGAATTGAATTGAATTGATTGAAAGGTTTGTTTTGATATAAATAGGAACATTAATTATAACAGGAGAAAAGGGATTCGAACCCTTAACCTACGGTTTTGGAGACCATTGTTCGTAATAAAAAATACAGCCGTCCCCCATATATGAGGAGAAGATGTTGCATACTTCAATGAGTATGGGCAGAACCAAAGATCAACCAATATAGGATGAGCATTTATGCAGCGGAAGTCTGATAACGAACTGACTCACATAGACTGACTCACACCAACTGACTTACATGGCATCACTCCACACACATACAATCATGAGATGGTGGGGTCTGGGTCATTCATAGACGATACCCAGATCCCGTACACACATACACAGATGAAAGGTGGGAGGAGAGACGGAGGTGGGAGGTAGATCACACCGATATGTCACAAAGATAGAGTCTGATAGGTCTCCGAGATGGTAGTCCAGAATGTCATATAACAAGATCAAAATGTCGAGGACCAAAGGTCACCAATGTCGGAGATAACAGAGTCCAGATGTAACCGGTGTCCAACTGTGATGCAGCCGAGTATCAACCTCAACAATCTCCAAGTCTCCAATCAGGTAAGTACSACAGTCTAGTATCACCGAAATCCAACTCTGATCTCTGTCCAACTGGATAGTCTCCAATCTGAAGAAGAAGAAGAAGAAGAAGAAGAAGAAGAAGAAGAAGAAGAAGAAGGAGGAAGAGGAGAGAGAGAGAGAGGGGACTGGCGAGGGAGAGGAGGAGAGACCCTCCAAGCTCCCGATACCTCAGGCGGTGATAACCGCCGTGCAAGCTCAGTCGCCCGCTGCTGCGCTCCTGCTTCAGCCCCAGCGCTAAGTTTAGCGCATCAAACAGTGCACTAGCACTGACCATGCCGTGCCGGTAGAGTTCCGGTAGGCCGATGCCACTACTGAGGCGGATACCGGTGGGCAATGGTCTGGCCTCAATGCTGCGAGGCCAGGCCAGACCCTGAACCGTCCAGATGGACGGTTCAGCCTCAATCGGCAGGCGGCAGCTTCAAGAGCGCCGCCAGGCCCAAACGAAGTGTCGTTTGGGCCTACCYGATGGGTGATAGTCCAAAATCAGGCCTTTAGGGCCTGTAAACCCCAAAGGTCGG